TCATAGAGGGTCAGAGTGGGGAGAGCCGCCAGCGGCCAGCGTTTTGACGCTGCGTGAAATTGCACCTTTATCGTAAAGAGTGGCAAACTTCGTAGTATTTATCTGCTGATGACATAAGTTTCAAAGGTTATATTTCTGACTGACATAAACATTATTACTGTGCGATTGTAATTGTAATAACTTTCTTAAGTAATGGCAACCTTTAATCAGAACATAATTACACAAATAGATAATAATTGATAAACATAGTTTCTAATTAAATATAATTACCATTAATTTTATCAACATTTGATTAAAATTCGTGTTATCATGAAGAACGAGAAGGAAGAAACTTTAGCAGGATGGAAAATTATATGGTGTTTATTCAAATTATTCGGTTTTTCAATCATCATTCCTTGGTTGGTGTATCATTTTTATGATATTATGCTGCAAAAGCGGAAGAGAGCAGCTCTTGGTAACAAGGTAATATCTTGTAGTTTTTAAAAAATTTTGTTATAAGTATAAAATATGAGCAAAGTATCTCATTGTGTATGTGAAGAATATGTATGTGAAGATTTAAATATTTCTGTGGATACATTTATGTTATATTTTATGAAATTCAGGTTGTTATGATAACTGGCGCTAGTTCTGGCTTAGGAGAAGCTTTAGCTCATACATTCTATAGCTTGGGTTGCAGAATTATCTTGGTATCTCGTAGAAAAGAAGAATTAGAGAGAGTAAAGAATGATTTAATGAATACTCATCAAGTATGTAACATAATACACATTTCAATAGGTAAATTTATTGGATATCAATTATTCTGCTTTCCTTTCAGACAATTCCAATGTATCCACCTATTGTTCTATCATTAGATTTAACTGATATTAATAACTTGAAAGATGAAGTGTCAAAAACTATAATGATACATAGCAGAATTGATATTTTAATTAATAATGCTGGTATTTCATATAGAGGAGAAGTTATTGACACAAATGTCGATATAGATATAAAAGTCATGTTATCGAATTATTTCTCTCAGGTTGCATTAAGCAAAAGTAAGTATATTAATTAAGAGATTTATATAGACTACTGCATATAGGTTAATAATTCGTTATTGATTTACAGTTGTTCTTCCATACATGATAGAGCAAAAATCTGGTCATATAATAGGTATAAGTAGTGTGCAAGGGAGAATCGCTATTCCATTTAGGTAAGTATTCAATTATAAGTCTATATCTATTCTTTTTTCGATTAATTGCTCAATTACTAATTTTTAGATCTGCATATACTGCATCTAAGCATGCATTACAAGCTTGGTACGATACTGCAAGAGCAGAGCTATCTGACAAAAATATAAAATTTACAGTTGTCAATCCAGGATATATTAAAACATCTCTTTCTCTTAATGCCTTGACAGGAAATGGGCAAGTTTATGGAAGTAAGTAACTATGTTCTTAACAGAAATGTTAAATGTGTCTTAATATAGCCTCTCATATATGATTTTTTAATTTGCATCATTTTATTATAGTAATGGATAAAACAACTGAAAGTGGTTTTCAACCAAAGTATGTAGCTGAATGTATTTTAAAATCTATATTGAAGCAAGAAAAGGAAGTTACTATTGCATCGTTTTCTCCAAAGTGTGCTATAGTACTTAGAACTCTGTTCCCTTCGCTTTATTTCTGGATTATGCAAAAGCGTGCGAGAAAATTAGCACGAGACAAATAATATCATTTTGATTAAGTATCGGTAGTATTTTACAGATAACGTGATTGTTTTTTATTTATCGTAGAATTATGTATATATATATGGTAAAATAAAAAAATAGTGTAATTATATAATTTGACAGAGGTTACAGATAGAATTTTATAACATTTTATATAATCAACTTTCGAGTTGTTATGTTCATTCATATATATATAGCAAGGGATAGCAGTTAAATAAAATACACTATTCAAAAGTATATTTTATTTATATCGTAGTCACTCTCTGACTAGTGGAGTATCTTTACATTATGTACACTTTATTATTATGAACTTTTAATTGAAACTGACGCTGAAAAGATATCGAGTGTGCTATCCATCTCTTGATATAAGGCTCATAAAATCAATGAAATTCTAATATTTTAAATTTTAAGTGATAAAAAAAGATCTCAATTATAAACAATCGTTTAATAATTATTTGTAAAATATTCAAATATATATTATAATGTAAAGACAAAATACAGGATCATATGTAATTAAATGTATGATAAAAATATATAAATTATTCACACACAAGAGTGATAGATAGCACATTTATATATAGTACTATTCAATGTGTTATTAAAATTATCATTTTTTAAATTGTTAACACTTCATTTAATTTTCTCTATTTATTTAAGTGGTACAAACTTACTTAAAATATAACAATTTTAATAAGACTTGAAAAAATATGTCTACCATAATAAAATCTTAGTCGTCATGACAGATTTAGCCATTCCAATATCCCATATATTGATCACATTTTCATATGCCTTCCTTAAGTTGTATTATATATCTATTCTTTACTTTAATATAATAAAATAGATTATGTAAAGAAACGCGATAAAAATTTATATTATATTATAAAATATAACTAAACGTAATATTAAACGTAACATCGAGCGATTACATACATTAATCACTACATAATATTTATGTAATCACTATGCAAACGGTTCTGGTATGTAGTTACATTGTATACATAAATATAGAATGCAATTACAACATTCTTGAGGCATACTGAAAAAACTGTAATGTACTTTAAATAAAACTTGATTACATTTTTTGTTATAATGTAATTTTTTGTTAGTAATAGTAAGCTTGTTCTGTGCAATGGACTTTCTTTTCTAGTATATATTGTAATTTTTGTTAATTTAACATATTTAAAAAAACAAGTCTTTAATAGAAATACGTTCAGCACGTTCCTGCGCTTTTCATGTATAAAATATAATTCTTTAGAACGAAATCCAAATGTATGGATTTCCAGATGTTGATCTTACAATTTTCGTTTCTTAAATTTTGTGCTATATTCATTACATAACGATATTTTAAAATATAATAAAGTATATCTGTTATCATTCTAAGGTTGATTTGTAATTTCTACAGCAATGTTCAGAATTATATACACTGTTCACCTTTTGAGCTCCTGTGTCGATGTACACACAAACGAGAATGTTTCATTCGTACGATCATAAATTTTATATCACGTGATGAGAGTTCACATAATGTTATGTACAGATTTTTAACTTTTGTTATCGTTAAACATTTATAGGAATGTTTGCGACGCCAACTTTCATTTGACGGAGTTAATGCAAATAAGTTTCGTTATGTGTTTCATCACACGCACTTGTGATGAAAAAAGTACATATTTTATTCTATATTTATGATTAGTAAAATAAAATCTAAAATTGAGTTTTTATGGTCAATATATCTTTCTGATATCTAGTTCAATATAGATTGTTTTGTTGGGTGAGAAAATCTAGGCAATATACCCTTTGACATATCATACGTATTGTATTCTCTCTCTACCTATTTTATTTACAGTCTAAAAATACATAATGCTAAATCCATATGTACTATTGTAAATTTAATCATTCTAAGAACACTTATGTCAATATTTCTTTTTCTTCTTTATAGAGACTGCATGGTCTTTCCAGCTTTGCAAGTTATTTTTGAAAATTTTATCAAGATGAAGATCATAAAGAGCAACGATCTCAAATTATATGCCAATGTAAAAGCTCGGATAAAATCTGGCTTTCTTTACTTGTATTTATGTGGTTTAGTCATCACATAAGCAGCATTCACCTGCGAGGTAGTATCAAAAAGTGTTATAAGTCAATCGTCAAAATGAGAGAATACATTGTGTTATAATATACCATGGCATGAGAATAAATGAGTTTGCACGTTTCCTTTCAGTTAAGAAATTCTGTAGGCCTACTACTATGAAACTCGACATCATGTGGCCTACCTTATTATTTCATTCTGATCTATAAGTCAAAACCAATGCCAGTAATAATTTTTTTCACTTGAACGCCTGATATACTCTCCAGGCAGTAATGCCAAAGGCTGTCAATGCAATAGTCGTATGAAGAATTCGTCTCCTCTTATCATCTTTCCTTACGAGAAACGTCGGAGACGACGGACCTAGAACAGCTAATAGTTCAACGTGTGGTAATTTGCTGGTATCAGTCTCTACTTGGTACTGGCAGCAGGGATCAAATTGCCAAGAAACTGTATATAATCCGCAGGTTATAACTGACGTAAAACCTAGTGGACCACAGATGTACGGTCGATCGCCCCAAACTAATCCTGTAACAAATATTGTAAAATATATTATTAATTAGCAATATATGTAATTTTAAGCCATGATGAGTTAACATATAATTGTAACATATACATATGATATTGTAATACTCTCATATAATTTATTAAGAATATTATAAAAATAGAGCTATCCAAGATTTAGAATTTTAGGCTTGATGTATATAATGCTTGTAATTTTCTTTATTCTTAATGGAGATAGGAAAAAGAAAGCAATAAGCAATGCTGATACATTCAAGTCTAAAATTAAAAATCCTGAACATCTCTCTGTAATAACAACTATAATAATGTGTATGAGAAGACTTTTTATATAAATTAGACAAACCTGTGGCGATTGCAGCAAGACCCGACAATGCAGCGGTCTTGTGAAGACAATTTCCTACCGCTATCCATCTGGAGGTTTCATCACCTAATTTCGACGGTTCGATAACGATTAAACTGCATTCTGATTCTAGCGCTCGCTCTAACTCGTATTCAAATGTCTCATGGGCATTTTCACTGTCGTACACTTCTCTGATAATGGCAACATTAGAGGATTCATCTCTACAAGAAAAAGAAACAAATGTATGAGCTAATACCCAGATAACATGGAACATTCCAAGAATGTCACAGTAATATTGTAATGTTACTGCAACATTGACTGAATTCAGTAAAAAAAGCAGCTTGGCAACTTTTGTAAGACTTTTTAACACGATTGATTTATAAATTTAGAGTGAGAAACCAAGGAAAAGATCAATCATATTTAAGAATTTTACAACAGTCGCAAAGCTGCTTTTTTTGCTGAACGCAGCTATTGCTTTAATGCTCCATGCTATTTAAGTACTTTCTAACCCGATGTTGTATTTTGCAACATAATTGCGTTTGCAATATTTATGTAATTCGCTTCAGCGTGCCAGGGTCATTTCTATAAGTGTAAAATCTTTTGAAAAATAAATAAATAAATAAATTGTTCTCATATAAAAGGGATTGGTTTGGAATTCATTTATAATCTTATGTATACGCTACATGTAATTGCGATTTATGCATCATAAAGTGCCCTGTAAACAACATTAAATCCTGGCCTCTTTGAGATTTCTTCCTTTCATGTATTATGTAAGACACAGATTATAGTTCACAGTCAATCGATACGTAAGATTTGTTTTGATCGCGTACTATGTGTCGTCCTGGCGAGATTAATTGTAAGATCAAAGCCGTGTATTTTGTGCGGCCTCGCGATTAGATTCTATTAATTATGACAATAACGAGATGAGACGCGTATACACACACACACACACATATATATATATATATTAAAGATCTGAGAAAGAGAACGATAGTGAAAGTGACAGAAGCCGATATGAGCCGCTCCAACGAAGTGCGATGAATCGGAATCGCGACTAAAAATCTCCTCTGCGTCCCACAAAATCGCGCCGAACGTTGTCTCGAAATCAAGAATTTAATGTTCCTCGAAGTATTCGGAGTCACGCGAGGCCTAGAGATTTATTAAAGATTAACTCGCTGCGCGTTGCCGCGGTGACTTTGAGGTTAATTCCGTTACAATGGCGACGGGGGATCGCGTCGCCGAGACATCGGTCCGGCGACATTTCTCTCGCGCGGGAGGCGTCGAGACGCCGCGGACGACGGCGGGGAATAATCCCATCTACGAACCTGTCACCAGCTTCATCTACCATCTTCACCGTCGATCCCGCAGATACTGAAACGGCGGCCTGCATCGGACCGGAAGAAAAAGCATGACTCGTCGAACCGAACGCAAAAATCAGCTGTTGGGCGCGCGCGAGCGCGAGTCACTCGCGCGACTCCGGCGGTTCCGGCGATTTTAAATTTTTTTTTTTGATATGGCGGTGCCGGTTTGAACGTTTCGCATCCTTCGTTTCCGGTTTCAAACGAGCCCCGAAAAAGCAAGTGCGCGATTTATTTCTCCGATCGTAATTTCGGGCGTTAAACTTGTCGTACCGCGAAGGCCTTGAACGAGCGACAAAATAAATTTCTATCGAAATGTAATATCTGTAAGGTATAAATTATACTTTAGAAGCGGACGGGTGTTAATTAATTGTAGTATTTGATATTAATCGTGCGGTTAGGAATATAGAAGAATCGATCGTGCCTCCATTTGATGACGTATTTCGATTCTCGAATGGGTCAAAGTTAAATTTTCCAAATTAAATCCTAGAAAAAGTCAATTAAAGTATCTATATAACTATTTATACGTTTCCGTGCAAAACAAAGTTAATTTATATTACGATTTTAGAAGAAACATGGGAAATTAATTTAAATAATGTATATAACCGCATTTAAAATTCTTCTAAATAATTTTAATGCACGGTATAATTATTATATATCAATCCAAATTTAATTTAATTCAACTTAAACTGTTTAATTTCATTTAATTTAAATTGTGT